CAGGACAGGCGACATCCAAGATGGACGTATATATTCTTTTCCGCCGAAAATGGTGAGAGACCAAAGAATACTGCAATGGTTATTTTTCCTCAGTAGGTCAAATCCTCACTAGCTTATCTTGACCTATAAAAGTAGCCTAACGATCTATAGATTTTTTCTGATCCATAGAATACCTCTTAAAAATCTAAATCCGGATCACTTCTTCGAAAAAACGTATATCGATCTAGAGTGTTTTTAATAATTTAAGATGCGAGAAACATCTTTTTATCTTGTAATTTCGTTCAATTCTATCTAAAAACAAGTTCAGCATTTGTAATTTCTTTATTTTCTATCGTCCATATTGTTCCTCTACACTTTTTCTTATTTTCAGCAAATTTTTGACCAATCTTTTTTTTAGTCGTTATTAATGGCTGTTATTTACGGATAAAAGAAATCAATAATTATTTCGTACAGTCAATTGAATCAAGAACTACAATAAAACGAAATAAACATGCTAGAGCATATCGTGCAAATTTACACTACGGTCATATATAATTACGCCGTTGTATTTTCAGAGTCATACACTTCGAGACTAACTTCTGACAAAAAATTCAGCGGATGAAGTTAGGAGCTGTTCATACAGCTTTATGTTAGATCAAGAGTGAAGAGACTCATTAGCTAATTAATGCGATAATCAAAGATTAAGCAAAATAAGCTTCCATAGTTTACCGTCGTAGTTTTGACATAAATGATGTAGAAATCAGATGCGCAAAATAGAAATATAATATCCGCTGTGCTTTTTTTTTGACCTCCAATGTAAAAGATTTTGATAATTAAACGCGTTCTAAACGAAGCATCCGAGCACATTTCTCTTAAATATGCAGGAAAAAACCGCTTCAAACACGTTTTAGATTTGGAAAAAATTTTATTCAATTTCTTATTCTATTTTATACGGCTGATGATAAACGCAACGGCGGTGATGTTATGTTCAATAGAAATAGGTATAAAGCTCAAGAGAATTAGATACTAATGAAGCTGGAAACAATTTATTTATCTTCAGCGGGTTTTCTAAATTTATAGAATTAGTAGTATAGTTGTCTATTATTTTATAAACAAAAATAGTGCGCACAAAAAATATCAGAATCATCAATTTTCAGTAGATTCGTTTTTTTTAAATAGTTCAACACATATTTATGCTATAACTGATGTGTGCCTATTTATTTTGTTATGATAGTCATTGTTTTCACCTTTCATATTCCTTCTTTTTTTTTTATCCTATTTATGTATGAAATTTATTTGCGTTACATTACACCATGAAGTTTTATCATAGATGCATCTCATTTTCTCGGTATTTTAGATATTTATATTTTCGTTTTGTGGCAACTATGTTGTCTTTTTATTTTGTATCGTATATTGTATTTTGATGCGTTTACTTTTTATACAACGTGCTCCAGTTCCATTTACTATCTATGTATTTTTTATTGCAATTTCTGGTAAGTGTATCATATCAAGTTCATGGAGAACTTAGCTGCAAAAACTGAATGCTGCCTATGAGATATATAACTCATTAGTGTTACAACTTTTACACAGGAGAAAACATCCATTTAAAACATAGTACCATTTTTATCTAAAAAGAAATCTGCACGAACTCAATGCTAAAGTTACTTTAATAATATTGATCACTTTCCCTCTTTCAGTACTAATCATTGTTGAATGCAGAAGAAGTGGAGGTAGCCGTGGAGGACATCGAGGGCATGCGCGGTAAGAAATGAGTTTCAATTAGATAAAAATAATATATTGTTTATTCTACTGAATTAATTGTGTTAGGCGAACATATTTCCGTCCCAGTAATATACATATTCAACGGTAAAGTACTAATCATCAAGGAAAATTCTAGTCAAAAACCATCCGTGCTTTTGCTTTATTATGCACTAACACTTAGGCAAAATGTTGATTTATAAATTTTAAAAGTTAACAATCTAAACCCCTAGCACTTTTTTCTCAGGTCCAGACCACAAACGAATAATTTCGTGAGAGGAGCGTCTTATGGTGCAGCTGGATATCTCCTTGCTTCGTTAACTATGAGTCAAGTGGCACGTCGCCATTATAATTCTGGTTACAATGCGTCAATACCAAGTACATTTTTCCTTTCCACCTATCAGGAATCTTTATAAAGTCATTTTTCAATAGAGATCATATTTTTAGATGCTAATGGTGACCGTTGTTCAAACTACGAAGATTTCAATAATTATCAGTTCAAAGAATTCAACTGTCCATTAGATGGATTTCAGTCGAGTGATAAATATTGCTGTGGTATTTAGTATTTTATTTTTCCATGTTGTCTCAAATCACTAATTAGACATTATGTATATAGGCGACGTAAATAAGCAATACTGCTGCAACTTTTGGTCTAGGTGAATCAAAGAATTGCTTTATGCAATGTTTTTCCGCTGGCACTTTCTTTCTTTTCTCATTGTTCAAACACTATATTGTCGGATAGAAAGAAAAACTTAAACAAAAAAAAAAAGACATGTATTTTTTTTTCTTTCCTTTTTTAGCGTACACACAGAACAAATAATAACGTCGTATATTTTCATCTTCCTCTTTCTTGTTTTACTCAATGATGATTTTTCTTATAGTAGTAATATTCAAAAACGGGCCTTAAAGATAATAATTATCAATACAATCTTTGCAATGTGACATTTCATGATTTTATAGATCAAAGAATTCTTTTTCGTCTGATTCTGCACCAATCGCTCAGTGAGGATGGCTTTTGTTATTATGATATAGGTGCTCATTAGTTTTTGAAGAACAAAGAGAATTCTAAACAATACTGAGTTTTCTAGTCTTTTTTCTTTTCTTTCTTTTGATATAATTTTAGAAAATACTGGAAAAATCGTTTTTATTAGTGAGTTGTTTAAACAGTGCTGGCAAAAATGAAATACATTAAAAATATTTACTTTTTGTTGTATGACAATTAAAAGACCTGGTGATCTGACAATTTTAGCTGTTGAACGTAATATTATCTATAACTTTGTTTAACTTAAGATTCGAGATATTAGTCTATACAATTTTTTTTATAACATAAAAAACTTTCGACTTTTTTTAATACTGATGCGGATAACATCTCTAGTGGGTTTCCAGAAAAATATAAGGAGAGTAGAATTTTTCAATAAAAAATTAATTGGTAAAGTCTTTTACTTATAAGTCGAGAAAATTACTATCATCATTTTTATGTTATTATTATCATGTCATTTTCAGTCACTATGTATTTTGAATGCTGATCCGAATGAATGACTGGAATTTTCAGATAAAAATTATGTATTTGCTGTAAGAAAAAACTTTTAGTGTATCTTCCTGCACATTTCTTATCTTTACAAATTTTTATTATTGGGTTATTTCAGTACGAATATAGCATAAATGTTTAATAAATTCTAATTTTTAATATACTTTTATTCGTACAAATATTACATTTAACAGCTACTGATGAAGACGTTGATAAACGTCAAAACGTTTAGCTGTTAAATGTAATATTTGTACGAATAAAAGTATATTAAAAATTAAAACTTATTAAATATTCTTTATCTGAAAAATTCTGAGGCAACGTGCACTCACTAGAAATAGCTAGGTCATTATGACTAACGGTTCGGCTAATAATGCCAGAATCATAATATTATATACAGAATCACAGTGAGAAAATTAAAACTGTGACAGACAGTTATTGCTCAAGACAAAAACTTCGACAGATGCTCCCTAGTGAAAAAAGACGGTTTAAAAGATTCGATATTTTAGTGGTAGTTATGTAATACACTTAGTGCGGGGAAAATGTAAATTTTTTTTCAATCTCATCATAAACAACTTATAGTTGTATTTGTCGATTCTTAGTGCTTCAGAGCGAGTTTTTAGTATGAAGAAACCGTATTAATGCGTATCGTTGTTAGAAAATTTTTCTTTCGCCATACCTACAATGTCTCATTCCTGAAAATTTCTAATTTTATCCGTTCTTTTTTTTTTCTGTTTAGTGGTAGACGTGCTACTGGAGCGATCATCGGAATCATAGTTGCCTGTGTATTTATTGTTGCCATAGTAGTCGGTGTTGTTTTTTACCACCGTAGGATGAAGAAAAAGGGTAAATTCTATTAATTTTATTCGAATAAATCTCAAACTTTTGTGAACGTCAGATACGAGTTTTTTTTTTTTTGCATTGATCTTTTCTGTTTAAAATCCTAAAAGAGTTAAGAGTGAACAGAGTTAAATTGTTATTCGTAATATTGTATGAATTTTATTGTTGTAGAATGGCGCACCAATAACATTCGACATATAAATCGAGGATATATCCAACGACAAAATGGTCAGTTATAGAACAGTTATTATTCTAGTATTTTTCTCTTAGAGTAACACTCACTGTAGGAATGTTGGAAGTTGTTCTGTTGTAAATGCACATTTGTACCTAGTATTTCTTCACAGGCTGACATTCTGCATTCTCTCTATGAGAACTTCTTATGCCAGTATTTACAGATGAGAGTCTGAGATCTACTTTTAAATCTTCATAAATTCTATTATATATCTATTCTCACGCTGTTTTAATCAGAGTATATTCTGATACATCTGACATTAGTGAATAACTGTACGAATACTGCGCAAGACTGTTTTATATTTCATTCCTAAGAATTTCAATGTTGTGAGTTAATTGGACTGGTTAAGCTGAAAATATTATATAATTTTTGATTATTGTTAAATTTGTGTTTAACTAACGCGGGAACATTTTTTAGTACCTCCTCGCTTTTTCAACGAAACCTACTGGATTATAGGTTATCGATGATGCTGATTCCAAACATGAATACGAGAGCTGCTCTTATGGCTTCGAAGACCCGGTTTTCTGGAAAACCAGTTTTTCAGAAACTCTGAGAAACAACTAAAACTTTTCTTAATGAGAAATTGTAGCCCGCACATTTCTGATTAAAATGAGACCTCTCCCAGCTCTACATGACCTTTCTTTGCAAAGTTATAGGATTTACAAGAAAAGCCCTAAATAATCATTGTCAACTCAAAGCTACAGAAATAAGAAGATATTAATCAGAAATGTGCGGGCCACAAGCGTGGCTCATTAAGAAAAGTTTTTCCAGAGTTTCTGAAAAACTGGTTTTCCAGAAAATCGGGTCTTAGAAACTCTAAGAGCAACTCTCATATTCATATTTGGGATCAGCATCATCGATAACCTATAATCCAGTAGGTTTCGTTGAAAAAGCGAGGGGGCGCTTAAAAACGTTCCCTCGTAAGAAGAGCAAAGAAGTAACTGACCTGAAAAAAAGAAAAGAAGTAACTGTGATCTTTCTTACCAACAGCCACTCACTAATGATCTGCAAAATAGAAAAACTGATTTTATACTGAAACGAGCAAATTTTCTTACTCTTTTCGGACTTAGACTGTAAACGATTATTTTTCAGCTCTTTCTTACATCTTTTTGTATATGTGGGCTTGTATTGTTGAGAATGGAAAGTGCATCTAAATACGCTTTATTCGTCATTCGCCTATCCGATCCGATCCACAATATTTTTTATTGAATTATTGAATATAATAAACACATCTGTTTTGTCTGCAAAATTATAATAATTTTCTTCCTCATTAGTACCAGAGTCATTCGTGTGAATGTGTAATGTGCGACAGTTTGCGCTCTATTTTCGAATTAGTTAAATACTCACAAGATCTGTGTATATATGAACAGAATATACAATATATTCATACAATATATTCTACAAGTTTTGTTGTCAAAAATGGATGTGCTATTCGTACTCGAAATTGTAAAATGTTACATTTTCTAGGAAGACATGAACAAGCAACGCTTGTTGAATCGCCACCAGTGAATTATCTATCACAAGCAATTATACCAACTAATGGAAGCGACTATCATTTAAGATCTAATGAATCAGATGGTAAGTATTCTCCATACCGCAAGTCTATTTGATGCTTTTTAAATTGGTTTGTTGTCTAGCCCCGCCGCCCTATCACGAAGCGGTCAAACGTTTTAAAAAAATCTAATTATTGTTATTAAGAGTCGTTTCTTTTCATGTAAAATACAAATACCTTGAGATCTGCATGAGTGCACGTGTGTAATATGTATCTATTTTTGTTTTTTTGTATAATTTTTCTATTTTTTGTACACTCAGATTTTGCTTAAGTGTGTTAATGCTTTATTTTTGATACTGATAAAAATAAAATTCGATTGTATTATTGTACGGTTTTCGATTTCTGTTTATTTTTGTGTTTATTTCAGTGAATTCTTTGGACTGATTAGTAATATGTAGTTAAAAAAGGTGTACACTTGCTTTTTTCTATGTTTTAAACATTGAACATTTTTTTGATTAATGTACAAAAAATGAGTTTTTTCCCAGTCGAATATGAATTATAGAAATTAGAGACAGAGAAATGTCTTTAATAAAATTTACAGGCTAGTAAACATCTATTTTTTCATTTCCTGTTGCAAGAAAGAATAGTACATAGAGTAGTTTCTCTTAAATGGTATAGATTAGTTTATTTCTCATTTGCCGGATCGATTGTGCTAGATGCAGAATAATGTGCTCTTTGCTTCGGTGAAGTCTCATCGATTGACAGTGTGAATGTCGAACGTACGCAGTATATATCTACAGATCATTACTTGAAAGCGATGTTGATCACGGATCTCTTAACCAATCAGAAAGGATGTTGCAAATACTAGCATGCTGTTTTGATTTTGACTGTCTTATACAATAAGTTTTTATGCAACGTACTCATATTTTTTGTACAAAAGTCAGATTACTTGTATCGTTTTTTTGATTTACTAATTTAGTAATCAGATTATCAGAACGTTTAGCAAACAGATGCAACTTTTATTATTGTTCAGAATATTTGTTCTGATTTGTCTTCCTGAGTCGTATAAAAAGTCGTACGCAGTTAGTTGGTTGAATTTGTATATCTTTTCTGTTGTGATAATTCGTCGTTTTTGACCCACAGACTTTACTTTTTTTCACGTGTTTAACGCTTTTCTATTGGATTTTTCAACTTCCTCATGATACATGACTGTTAATTTTCTCTTATTGTTGTCAGATTTAACTTATTATTCTTCTATTTCTGTTATAAAACAGCTAGTGTTTAATTTATTTAAAAAACGAAAGAAATTATTTTTATGTGTTTCTTTATTCTGATCTTATTACCGAACGGGAAAGAGAGTTGCGGGTTGGTTTGTATGTTTTTTTTGGTTTGAAAGACGGAATTAAAAGTTTACCGTTTCTTTAACTGATATACTTAAACGAAAGCAATTTAAAAATTGTTGTCCTTTTTTTCCACCCACCCTATAGATTTCTCGTCTTATATGTATTTCGATAAGTGCTTGAACACATAGTCATATATTATCTATTTGAATGATAGCATTGTTATAGTCATTCATACCATAGGCGGGTCGGGAAACTTTTTCTAGGGGGAGGCAATAAAACTTTCTAGAGTAATACATACAGAAACGTACTTCCGAGAGACGTACGTAATTTTGCAATCAAACATTGTTCCTTCGAATTTTAAGAAAATACACTGCTGGGAAATATAATTCTTCATAGGGCAATAAATTGCCCTTAGTAGTTATTGTCCTTGATATTTTTTTTCAGGAGGGACAGTTTCCCCGTTGACAGCTTACCAATGATCCATACTATAACACAACATACAGACGTCTGCACTTCAGTTTATATAAAGATGTAATAATGAACAATTAACGATCTTGATTTATTTTAGAAGAAAATAGTTCTCATATCACAATGACTTTTTATTTTTTCAACAAATACCTTTACTTAGTGTGTATTATTAATTCATGTTGTAAGTATCACATGGTTGCTGTGTCCTGTTGTATACTAATGATTTTTGTTTGTCTGATTTAGTACTCATACCATTATCAAATTGTAAAGTATTTACCGGTGGTCGAGGAGGTGGTGGCGGGGGTTTTAAAAGTAGTGTAAATCGTGGTGGCACATTTTCTGGGAGTAACAGTGGTTATGGAAAACCAAATTACATGAGTGGAGGAGGGTTAGTAATGAAATATTTGTTTGCTTCTGAAAATATGCCTTAGTTTGTTATTTCTATTTTTATTTTAAGTAGTAAATCATCAGGTATGAAAGCAGCCGCCATGGGTGCAGCAGGAGGAGCGGTGGGTGCTATAGCCGCTTACAGTATAATGAATTCACTATCTCATTCTGGCAGATATCATAGTGGCGCTTATTCTCAGGGATATGGAAGTAAGCTTCGTCGTTTGTCAATGTCTTTTTCATAGTGCAATTTTTTCTTTTTTTCAAGCCGGAAATACTTGTACAAATAATGAAGATTATAATGGAACTAGATTTGGAATGTTTCAATGTCCTCTCGAGGGGTATGGAAGAAACCACTGTGTTTAAAAATATTTACAGAAAAATATTAATTTGTAGATTCACTCCTGAGGATAAGTACTGTTGTGGCCCACCAGATAAACAATTTTGTTGCCCAGGATCAAAGTATGATTTCTATGTTTTTACCTATTGATAAAAAACTGCATTTTTTTGTAGTTCTAGTCGTGTTCCACGAGCAGCTAACTTAGGATGGCTGTTAATAATTGTTCTTTTAATATGTTTATTCTTGATTTGGTCTCGAAAACGTCGCTTACGAAGACAAAGTACGGATTATATTTGACGAGCGCTTCAGAATAAATGAGTCTCCAAGTCTTTATATCACTTTTGAACAACTTGTGAATCGGATCTATTTCTTTTATAGAAAGATAAGTCTCTGCAAAAAAAAGTGTTGAGCGCTTTATTACAGAATGAAAAGTGAATGAGTAGTTACACGAAAAGTACGGAGAAACTGGTCAACTTTCAATCATAAAATTATCTTTTTTCTATTCTATTTTTTTGTCTGTTATGATATCAAATAATTCAAATTACCATTTCGTAGTCGCTGAAAGGTTCTATCTTCTATATATAATTAAAATTTCTCTATAGTACAACTAGATTGACAGCGCATTTATTTTCTTTGTTTGCTTCAAATTATTATTTTTTTTCTTGACCTTCAATTTAAATTTATTTTCACCATACCGTACCTCAGAACTCGTCCAAAACATTTTCATCAAGGAGATTCCACTAAAGTTGCCATTATACTATAAAAAATAGGTACTAAACGTGAGTCAAGTAAAATAGATCTTGTTATAAACCGGTTTTTGAGCGTGGTACAAGTTGTTCAGAAAATACAAAACCCTTTTTATTTGTTTTACCTTTAGAAATGGTCATGATTCCCATGGAAACAACAACAAATGAACCACTTAATCGACCCCAACAAGTTTATCAACCACCGTATCAATCACCTTATCAACCACCTTATCAATCACCTTATCAACCGTCACAAATGCCTTATCCGACTCAACCGACTGGACCCATGCCTCCTCCAACGGGTAAGTTTATAGGATTCTGTAGTCATTAATAAATGTCAAAATATTCTCAGGATATCCACCTCAAGTGCCTTATCCAGCTCAACAACCATATTCGTCTTTTCAATATAAAGATGGTAGGTGCAGCGTTAGCATGATATTAACCATTATTATAAATACTTTTTGATTTTTAAGGTTTGCCAGCATATGACGATGTCGTCCATCAAAATCAAAATAATCCTGTTAAAAACCCATACTAAAGAACACAAAACAGTGATGTTGTCTCATTCTTTGTTTATCCAAGACACTTTTTCCCCTAATGAATCTCACATGAATGAATTTTCCTCAAACTTCTGTGCAGCTGTTTTGTTTTCGAGTGTCTTGTTTCGATCTATTCATTGCATCTAATTAATCTCGCTCCCAATGCAGTCTGTTGTGCGTTACATAAACTCGAAACATTTTTTTTCTGTTCAACCCATGCTTTCGTATACCTGAACTAATAACTTACTCACTCACAATTATCATTTTTTCGATGTAGAGAAGACAATATTTTATAAATACATATTTATACAACGCTTTTATTTTTTTGTTCGTTGTTGTTGTTTTGTTATTGCTATTTATGCATTATTGTGTGTGTGTTGTAAATCAACTTTTTTTGTGATTGTACATATTCAAAGAAATAAATACGTTAAATTATTATGAAATTCTTCCTCATGGATGGAAAAGTGGTCGAGGATGAGAATGATATTTCACTTTTTTTTAATTTAATGGAAATAAAATCGATAGTAAAGACGAGTTATGAAGCTCCTAGGAAATCTTATATCATGTCTAAACAGAACTGAACACGAATGTCTTGCCAGATCCCCCCCCCCTTCTTCGACCACTTTTCTTACTCATGAAATTGAGTCAACAACGAGTTACACGTAATCTACACCAGAAATGAAGTTCGTTTAGTATCATTATTCGAGTAGCAATCGTTTTCTACGAAATCAGAGTAGTATATATCTTCTTCTTTATAGTCAATCACATCATGGACATATTTACACGTATAATATACTTCATTAATACTGTAGCCCACAATAAGATATACTGTAGAAAGAAATTCTCTTTATCTCGAGTACAAAACTATTCTCAAACATAGAAAAATGATGATGATTTGTGAGAGTTATAAAAAGTAAAAGTTGTCTGTTTCACGTTTTTTGTAACTCTCTTATGTGATATATGAAAAATAGTAACAAATTGGTTATTACCAGACAAAGTTGTATCAGATAGCATACCTAATATTGTTTTTGCATCAGTCAGTCATAGCGTTAAAATTGAATAAAATAGATGGAGAGAAAATAGGCAAGTATCATCTGATAGATACCTTGATAAACGCTATTTTTAATCGTCGACCATTGAAACAACGACGTTGGATTCTTATTGTATCTGGCACAGTGGGCATCCAAGCGGACATTAGGCGAAAAAGTCAATTTGTTCTTTTTCCAAATATAAATAGTGTAAAATGTAGCCCTTTGAATTCTCTATCGAATGGTGTATGAATGTCTATTTTGATGTTCACTCCTAAGTGGAGAAAGAAGGACACGAAAACTGCAATACGAATACCGAAAACCATGACATGTATGCACAAAAATGTAACTTTTTCTTCACACAGCTGCTTTCAACGATTGGAAAGGATATATTCGGAATCAGCATGCCCTCACCTATCTATTGATATAAAAATGTCTACATTTCCATATCGAATTTACTAAAGAATCGGTAATGGAGTATACCCAGTTTCATTCGAACTGACACGACCTCAATATAGTCAAGTTCCACGATTTTCCTGACTTCGAAAATAACAATAAAATATATCAATATGTTTCCGAACACCCACTTTATCTACAGTGCATGCGACTTTTTGCGACTTTTTATCTAAGTCCAATTATCAATTTTCTAAAACCCATACGGTTTTCGGGGTATTTCATGGTTTTTTCGTTTATAAATGCACTTCCCTTCAAATATAATACCATATTCGGAATCAGCGTGAAAAACTGCAGCGAATGGTGTATAACTCATCTAGTTTCGGTCACTCGATTTTGAATTCTAGAAATTTCTTAGTTTTTGAGATTCACACAAACAATTTCGTGCTGAAAATTTGAATTTCAAGATAAAGTAACCTGAACGACTCGAAACATGTTTCTTATAGGTTTTCGACAATGCTCTTTCCAGTGGCATCGTTTTTAAATATTGAGAAAGTTTTCTGAAGGGTTTTCCAGAGACCGGATCTCTGGAAAACTCCTTAGAAAACTTTTGCAAAACCCAACTCTCATGCCATTAGAAAGAGGATCATGAAAAACCTATACAAAAATGGTTCATGAAATTTTAGTTCACTTATAAAGCTAAAGTCCGCCTGCTCTAGCAAAAAATGCCCACTGTGTGAAACATCTTGGCTTACTTCACTCAAGATCTTGGGTTAAGAAATTTCAAGATCTTGAGTGGTGTAAGCCAAGATGTTTCAAGATCTTGAGTGACAAATTTTCTTTATATTTTGTTTTTATTTATGACAGTCGTAGCCATTGGATATACGACCGTATAGAGTCGTAGATTCTTCCTTAAACAACTATGGTCAAGAACGAAAAAAAATTGAAGTTATTCTAAGGGTGAAAATATTCGCACTTATATTTATACAAGAGTGTAAAACTAAACGATGATTCAAGAATTTTCAAGATCTTGGTACAAGAAGTCAAGAAATCACAAGATGTTCAAGATCTTGACTTCTTGAAATTTCTTGAATTCTTATATTTTCTTGCCAAGATCTTGGTTACAAGAAGTTTCACTATACTAGGGATATGACGTTAGAATCGGTGTTTTTAACACGACGTTCCAGTGTATGGATGTTTTGAGTGGCTGTATCTGTCGCTTACTTTTATATTATAATTAATCTATATCTTTAACATTAACTTGTGTATAATGACATTAAAAATTAAATCAAATTGTTTGGTATTTGTAAAATAAATAAATTTTTCTCAGACATTTATCAACTAAATTTTCTCCGGTGAGAAAATACTAAACATTGGAGTTTGTCAAAGCATACATTAAGAATTGTAGTATAGAATACACACATAATACTTTATTCCGTCTTATTGGGTATTGTCTATTTGCTTTCACGGCGTCATTTCTAGATATGCATCAGTCGCAGTTAAGGAGAGTTATCTGTAACTATAAAACAGCAGAACTGTAAAGCTGGTACAGGTTAGAAGACAACGCGCACGTCTAGCACTCGATAGTTTGCTGTTAGTGCGTTCTTATTTGTTAATTTACTTAATTTTTAACCACATAAAATATGTCAATTACATAATATAACTAATGTAAACGCTAACTAAAATATTCAAAAGAATAATATTTACTACAGAGTTGCTAAAATATAAATAGACGATGGCTAGGAATAACAGTCTTTTGAAATCAAGGGTTGAAAGTTGAAAAGCACAGTAAATGTCTGGAAGAGCTAAACAAACTCTAAAAAAACATATTTAACCCTTTGGGGACGGGTGACGTTTTAAAACGTCATTAAAACGTCAAAAATCGGAATAAGTCGTGTTTTCCAAAACTTTCTTTTGAAGAAACGTCTCTCAAAACTAGATCATAATCAAATTTC